AGGCGCCGGGCTGGGCGGGCGGCCAGGCGGGCGCGGGGGCCCGTTGTTCCGGCGCAGGTGAGGGAGGAGAAACGCCGGTCACCTCCCGCTGCCCTCGCCCCGGCCAGCAGCTCTCCACGCGAACTTTCTCCCCGACCTCAGTTGTTTTATTTACCCACAGATCCACCGGGGGAGCATTTCTACTTGCCGCCTTGGTCCTTCTTTCTCGGCGGTCACCGTGTGCCCGGCGGGGAAGCTCAGTTTAGGGTGACCCGAAGGCCGGGGGAGGACCGGGGAGGCATTTTGCTGCTTTCGGGGAAACCGGCCAGTTAGGCGAGCACCTCCACTCCCCGCAGCTGAGCCATGGCCCGCATGTTCAGGGGACCCAGCCCCGACGACAGGCGAAAAACCACCGTGGGGAAGTTTTGGGGCTCCCGTTTGTCCTACAAAGGGAAGTGAGGACTGTGATCGAATTGTGCGTGCCGTTTTCTTTGTGTGTTTACGTGTGGGAGGGGAAACCGGGAGGGAGGTACGTTTGTTTTGGTTGCGGGGCGGGGGGGTTTCTTGGAGTGGTAGGGTGGTGCAGAGTTTGATCTGGTAACTATGATACTAATAGGTTTCTTTGTTTTTATTTTCTTCCTCTAATCTTTGATTGCTAGGCTAAGAATTACTATTTAGCCAAACATGGACCCTGCAGGATACAGTTTTACCCTAGCAATCCTTTCCTCTCAGTTCCTTAGTTGTCCTAAGGAAGGTTAAGACGCCCCCCACCCCAACTTTCTTTTAATAATTAAAAATGTGAATTTGACCTTGTCCGTAAAAGTACACTGAAAGGACCTGTTTTTGAACTTGAGTTCGCCAGACTTGAAAAATCTTTTAATTTATGTTGCAAAACGTAACACGTTTATTAGTTGCTGAATCTAAATTAAAGTCTGGGAATTTGTTTCAGGTGGAGTTGGAGAAAAACCTAATTGCTTTTAAAGTATTTATACATTTGTACGTGATTTGGGGAAGGGGGATCTTTCTTTGCTCTAAAGGTATTGTTGGCTCAATGTCTGGTGATTGTTCTCTAAGTTATCTTTGGATGACCTTGAAGAAGCTTGCAAGTAGGGAGTTGGGCCTTGGAGATATGTAGGGGTTGAGGAGGAAGCTCCTCCGGGGGATGACTACTGGGTAATGGCTATTCCTGCTAGCTTCCTAGTCCCTGTGAATTGGGGTTGACCTTCTGGTTACCCCTCTTAGATTTTCTTTTCAAGCTTTTTTTCCCTTCTTCTTTTTTTTTTTTTTTTTTGGTATGTGGCCCCAGGCATAGCTCAAAAAATTATACTGGTTTGACACATGGATGCTTCTTTGGTATTTGGGGTTTGCTTGCAGTCTAGACATCCAAAAAGCTGCACCATGTCCAGATTTCTCCTGCATTTAGATCATGGTTAGGGGTTAGAATCTAAAAGTGGTCATTACCAGAAAATAATAATATCCTCAGATACCATGCCCACACATATCAAAAAATCTGTACAAATTGAAGTCTGTTTTGTGTTTTTCATTGTTTTGTTATTAAATAAACACATTTCTCCTAAGTTTTGGTTAGCCAAATTATAAATACCTAAAGGCAACCAGTTTTAGTAACAATACATTTCTGAAGTGAATAGAAGGAACATGTCAAGAAAATGAAAAATTTTGGATTTAATAACTTTATGGCTTCCCTTTCGGCGGTTATTTCTCTGGGTCGTGTGTTTAAAATGCATATGAAATGCTTTGCAAATACACTGAGATTCTTTGTTTTTCTTAATTAGTATTTTATAGCCAAGTTCCGGCTAGAATTTCAACATTCTGTGAAATTTCAAATATATAGAGAGCTTAATGGTTTTTATTTTACGTATACATGCAATGGAGATTTGGTTTATCAAGGTGAAGGAGTTAAGAGTGAGAAAGACAGACAAGGTCTCTGCTGATTTCCCTTTTTGCATTACTTTTGTGGGAGGCTGGAGATGAAAAGTTCAATAGGTAGTTTATTTTAGAACCTCAAGGCTGCTGTTGCACAGTATTCTTAATTCTATAGGTCTGAAACCTGGATGATCATTCCCCCACCTTCGCGCGCCCCCCCCCAGAGTTGTAATCGGGTCCTGGAAAAACCTGGCTCATGGGGCTCAAACTCAGGCAGATTTATATCAGAAAAGCAATTTGAGAATGATTTTCTATGTAACGTAAATTTTTCACTGAGGAAAGCTTAAGCTTATTTGAAATCTAAACCAAATTTATAAGCGGTTCTGAACACATTAATTACCATGTCAGGCACATAGTAGGTTGCTTATAAAAATATGACATTTTCTTTTTTCCTTAAGAATAGGAGTATAATTGGCTGAGAAGGAAGGGAACATGTGTTGTTATTTGTTGAGGCACTAGGGTTACTTGTTCAGAAGTCTCTGGGGTTAAAATGCCTAAATTCCAAAGCCCTGATCATCCTAAATAAGTTACTTTGTGGTCTAGTTTTCTCATCTGAAAAATAGCAATAATAGTTCATTGAGCTGTAAATGATTAAGTAATGTGCTTGGTAAATATTGGCTGTTGTTATCCTCACAACTTTAGTTGAAAGTACATATTTTACAGAAGACAAAACTCAGGGCTGGAGGAAATATTCAGTAAATATTTAATGGAAAGAATGAGTGTCTTTGGCCCCCTCCCTACGTTCAGTAACTGCCTTCAATTCAGCTCCTGGTTGCCTATCCAGTTCTGTTTCAACCATTTTACATTAAAAAGTCCTACGGAGATCTAGAAAATGTCATTTTCTTCCTGATTTGTCCACAAGAGTATCCTGGATTTCCCACACTTGTTTTTGACTCTGGATGGTTATAAATTGAAAATAGTTTGTTGTCTTTGGTTCTCCAATTTCTCCTCTAATTGAATCTGCAGCTAAGGTTTTGTGTATTATCTAAATAATCTGGAAATGCATATAGTCCAAAAGAAGAGTTTGTTTTCAAGGGAGGGAGGTTTTCTTTTTGCACCAGAAATACACAAGTCACAGTCACATTTGCTCTTACATATTCAAGTACAAGAGTTGCAATTGAACTAAAATAACTCATTTCTAGCTTGTATTTAGTTGTTTCCACCTATTATAAATTTGATTTGGCTTGATGTTATTTTAACCTGGTTGATGTTAATGTATACTGAGTTTAAATAAATAACTCTCATTTCAAGATTAATTTCTCCCCACACTAGTCTCCTAATCTTTCCTTCCTCACCATGTGCTGCTTGAAGTAAGAAATATTTTTTCTACCAATCATTATGAAAGCATTGAATTGTTTACTAGTAATCATCTCTAATGAAGCTAATTCATTCAGTTTACATTTCCCAGAAATCTTTAAGCCTCAAAAAAAATTTTTTTCTACAAAAGTCTATATACACTAAATGTTAAAGAAAAATAACTCCAGTCAAAACATCAGTTTTTTTTGTTGTTGTTGTTATACACACCTTTATTCTGTACACCATTTCCTATTCCATGCCTTTAAATATATTGTTTAGATCTATTTTGGCTACCCTGCTAAGGGCAGTTAGCAAATCCTTCTATGTACAGTCAGCACCTGGTTGTAATATAAGAGTCACTGCCCTGAGATAGTTTACCATTAAGTAGAGGAGCTAATTCAGTAAACAAGTATGTGAAATCCTATGTGTTAGGTATTCTAAGAAAAATTTTGTAAAAAATAATTCTTCAAGAATATCCCAGGTTAAAGAGATGGAGGAAAACCATCTCAGACAGAAATGACAGCCTTGAGTAGAGATGTGTGGCTAATTATTAAAGTTGGTTTGACACTCCTGGAATATCAGAATTCCAAGTTGGGAGCAGCTGGTAGGCAGAACCAGATCCTGAAAAGCTTTGAATTTCTTGCCAAGGAGTTTAGATATTATCCTGAAGCCAGTGTTGCTACCTTGGAAGAGATGATTAATATTTGAACTTGAGGAAGATACCACCTGTTCGAAGAATCCAGGGAAGTCAGTTATGAGGCCTGCACGGGACTTTAAGCACCATCATGACAGGTGAACCGGCAGCAATGGAAGGGATGTGAACCAGAAAAGTGAAGGAAGAAGCAGAATCTCTAAGGACTTCACAGTGGACAGGGTGGGAGCCATGCAGAGGATGAGAAGGGAGAGCCCAGTTGACTTCTAAATTTTTTGTTTGACTGTATGTATGGCTGATAACCAAGATAGATGAACACAGGAAGAACATGCTTGGAAGACAAGGTTATGTAATCAATTC